TATAGAATTTCTTCTTATATTATACAAATTTCATTCAAATTTGCATAATTGTCAGATAATTATGTCAAACATCACACAAGATACCTACATACAAAAAATCATGATGATCCGTCAACCAGTTTTCGAGTTATCCTCTTTTGAATGTTATCAAACTAATGATCCTGCAGTTCCAGAACAAGCCGCTGGGGGGGGGAGCTTATGTCACTTCTTTCCCAGGACAAGAGCTACCTATAAACGAAAGTATTTATAGAAGTATATATATCTTGTCAATATATTTTAGCCTTCTCAACTCATCGTGTTTACACACACACACACGAACGCCTACGAAAACATAACCCATTTGCCAAAGGTAATAACCCTCTTATAGACGAATGTTATAAGAAAACGATGGACAACAAGAGAGAGAGAGAAGACGAATATATTATGTATCTCTGTAGACATGCATTTGTTTTATGAATTTTTTTCTTTATCATCACTAAACTTCTGGTAGATTGAATCAGTTGCCGGAAGTATTATACCAGCTTGTAATTTATGTACATATATCTACCCTTACATTTTTTGGAATGATGCATAAACCATCGTTCGTGTCTTATTATATTTACCTTTGTCTTAGCACCTTAAAATTATGTAACTGGCTAAATTGTGCATAGATGTACTACTACGCGCGTGTTTGTCTGGGTGTGTGTCTTTTTGTGTCTCCCTCTCTCTGTGTGTATGTGTGTGATCACAATAACTCAAAAAAGTATAGATAGATGAATAGGTATAAAAGTTAGTATATGGGTCTTGGTGACATATTACAATTATTGGAATGTTTGCCTCCTTATAATGGTTCTGCGGCGGAAATTTCGGTTTTGATATCTCGTGATCTGGACCTAAATATGGTTAAATGCCTATTATGAAAATATTTAGTTTGCGTAATTTAAATACATATTTAGTTATTTGCTGCCTTTGGAAATACGACTATTTTTTAATTTTTGACATATGCAATTGATATTAGAGGAACATCGGTAGATTTTGATATAAAGTGAACATAGTCAAACGTAACTTTTCAAAGTCAAACAATCAAGGTTTTTTCAATTATCACGTTTTCCAGTGAAAATAACGTTACGTACTAAATAAATATGACTACACATGAAGCTGTAAAGTGGGAATGTCTAGGTCAACTGCGGACACACAATCTCCAGTGGTACTCCTGAAGCTGTAAAGTGGGGATGTCTGAGACGACTGCAGTCACACAGTCTACACTGCTACTTGGACTTTCCCTCACCTGGTGAGTTAATTTCTTTTCTTTCCTCAGCTCACTTCTTCAAAATCGCCATGTTTTTTTTTCAGAAATAGACGTAATTCCAATCTCCGCGGCCATTTTGAAAAGCAGTCCCGCACGCACGTGATCCTGCACGAAAACGAGGCACGTACGTATACTCAGCTGGCTTCCACAATAGGTTCCATTGGGGCATCGAGCGGTGCTGCGTCTTCGGTAAATTACGCTCTTCTACGGTGAAAGGTCGAAATATTTATACGTGTTACGAATAGATAAGGTTGTTATGAGCATTTTTGTTTAATTTCAG